TGGTTTATTCTTGGATCGGGCTTTAAAGGGTTAAATTACATAATTACAAAAAGAAATTTGTTGAGATGAAACACTTAAAAACCGAATTTTTAAATATAAACTTTAAGAACATAATTCAAACAGTAAGTAATGCATAAATTAAGGGAAAGGAAAAAATAACTAAATTTATTATCTGCTACTTTTATCTGATCTCAAAATACTCATGAAGGGAACAGCATCATTAAGGGCAACTACTGCTAAAAGTTAATTTTCTTAATTTTCAAGTAAATGTAAGTAGTTACTACACCCCTCTGCAGGGGTTTGTTTATGACGCCACTAAATAGGGAAATGAGGGTGTGAATACTATTACAAGGCACTGTAAAATAAGTTAAAGAGGAAAATAAAACCAATTCTCCCTCAACTAAAAGAATATCTTCTTTTCTCTAAAGAAAAATAAACAACTGTTGGTAAACAAATTAATTTCTCTTAACTGATAAGCAAACATGAACCGTTTATATGTAGGATGAAGCAATAAGATGCTGTGAAACTGGGATCTGTGAGCCAATCGAACACACAGCAAGACCATTGCAATGAACACCTCATCAAAACATGCCGGATTTATTGACAGCGAGTGTTTGAAGGTGTGAGGACAGCGAAGCATTGAGCACACCTACACAGCGACACACATCATGACCAGGGTGAAAATGCACAAATTGGTATTGCTTCGACGGGAACGGTGAGGTACAAAAACACCTTTAAAGTGGCACCATCGTCCACAAGAAGATTTTTTTCTTAATTATTACTTCTGAACACAAACCAGATGAAAAGAAGAGCATGTTGTGATTCCTTAGGTAAATGTAATCGGAGTGCGGACATCAACGAACTAAAGGACAACCACAGATGAGTCTGTATGTTCAGACACGTTATCTGAAACAAACTTTTAGATTTATATCTATATAAATATGTACACTTTTTACATATAGGCTTTAAAATATTGCTATTAGAAAATGATAAATTGTGTATTTATGACGATGAAAAAGGAAGAAATTAAAACAGAGACTTAAATAGTGCTCTCTTCATTAGAAAGACTGTTTAAGCCTTCGCCAACGATAACATCCCTAATAATACTTTTCAAGACCTCGTGATCCTGGCCAACAAAAATTGACCAGTTTTATTTTTTTTAAAGCAGCATTAAAGGCAAATCCTACAATCAGCAACCCAGAAAGTCGTTTACTTCTTCAGCCACTTTCAGGTCCTTCTCATCCACATATGGCACTCCTACGTATCTAAGAGCCAACATGTTGAACGTGCCGGTGGAGCCCGTAGGGAGTCGTTTACACCGACAGGTCCAGAAAGAGCAGCAACTTTGACAAATGAACAAAACCCTCATAAAAACACCAGATACTGTTGCCTCCTGCTGCATGTTTTAGTAAAGCACCTGTTTATTTACAGTGCCGGCTACAACTATTTGGGCCCTTTGTAAAAAAAAAATGCAAAGTGGAGTGGAAATAAATGTAATTTATATTGCAGCAGCAAAATCCAGCCTTTATTTCATTAACTGTTCACACAGTTGTTAGAGTAGTAAGGATCTTCACATCACTAAAAGTAGCCCAACTCTATTACAAATGTGTCCAAAACTATGTTGATATTCTGCTAATTTCGAAAATGAAAAGTTTTGCAATGGCTTAAAATTGCATGTGAATGCGTCAGTTAATGGGATAACTCTGAAAACATGGCAGCTGCTGATTTAAACACATGGGATGTATCCATACTTCAGCCACGCCTCTAGTGGGCGCCATCATCCTCCAACTTCTTTGTCTTAAGGTTCAGTTGAAGATCACATGACTTGTGTGATGTGAAAAAAATGTGTTTAAATTGCAGTTTTCAGTTCAAAGATTTAAAAAGTTATAAAAAATCGTGGGATTATTAAAAAAAATGCAATATTTCCATTTTGCAAATGTTTTTCTGTGATCATAATTTATTCAGTCAGGTGGTTTATGGAAGTACAACTAGTGAGAAGTATCATAAAAGCCAAATCTCATTGCAAGAAAAAAAAGAGCCACCTTGGAGTTGTGAATCTCCATGGAAACAATTACGCTTCTATCGTGCCTTTTTTCAACAAATATGAAATATGTGAAAAATACCCTCTTGCCCACCGTTTTGCACGGACTAGGATCTACAGTATGATGCTGTGGGCCTGTTCTTCAAATTCCACATGAATCTTTGTTAAAGAGCTTTGAGAGCAGTCTGAAGTGCCACGCCATTTAAAATTAAAATATAAATGCACTGTGGGCATCGGAAAATGTGTCAGCATTTTGTCTTTCAGCAGGATAATAAGTTGAAACATGGAGACAAAACAGATTTGGCTCAGCAAAAATAAAATCCTCCGAATGTATTCCTGAAGGTAATCCTGGAGCTGAACAGAAGTGAGTCAATGATAGGAACCGGGATTCTTGAAGACAGAGGGATTGTGCAGGGAAAGGTGAAAGGATTCCCCCTCTCCATGTGTTTCCTCCAACAACTGAAATGTTTGAAGTAAGGAAAATCAGCAAAATACCATCAGAGGTACCAAGAGTCCCACCACTATCATTTCTTAACATGGGATTTATTTCTGATTTACATGCCTTTGAAACAAAATTTTTCTCAAGCATTCAATAGAAGATTATGCTGCTGCAATAATTGATCATTATTGGGGGCTTTCTTTGCAGCTTCCTAAAGATCGATAATCTACATGTGGCTGTAATACATGTCTGTGTCAAACCTGAACACCCAAAAATTTCAATTTCTCTTGCACAAAAAATTTCTCTTGTAATAGAACCCAACTAAAGCCATCAGGGGATGAAATTTCTAATTTTACACAAGTATTTTTTACTAAGTTGGTCTTCAATTTATTATTTTCTCTAACAAATAGAGTTTCTTGTAAATATACTTATACACCTTTTTAACTTTATCACATTGAATCCACAAAATTCTATTTAATTTACTGGGATTTCATGTGATAGATCAACACAAGGCACATCATACTTGAGAGTATTAGTAAGATTAAACGGCTCATCATGCTGAACTCACCGTCCCCACAGTAAAGCATGGCACTGGCAGCATGATGCTGTAACAAGATGTTTCCCTTTACAGAATATCGACATTGTGAGGCAGAATATAAACACCAACCACACATTTTCTACCTTCTATTTACTTGGAAATAAAAAAAAATACTAATAATGCATTTACTTCCAGTTCACTCTTAGGCTCTACTTTGTGTTGGTCTGTTAAATCAAGTCCCAATAAAATGCTTTGAAGTTTGGGTTTAATGACCAAAACAGGGAATATTTTTGGGAGGTGCTGTCATTTCCACAGGGTAGATAAAATTTTAGATTCAGCATCAAATCTGATTGTAAGTTCTGAAGAGCAGCGATCAGTTCCACGTCAGAGAAACCAAAACCTGCTTCTTTAATCGCCAAACTGATGGATTTTGGCTTTTCTTTTATTTCAAAGCTTATTAAACTAAAGGAAGAAGTTCTTCTTAGATGATGATAAGGATGCTACCACCAAATCTGAAGAGGCAGTGTATATCAAATCTCACAGGTAAACCCCCATTCCCCAAACAATTACTCCCACCTTTACGATTGTTCTTGATTTCATACAATCAACTCACATCATCTCCCACTGTGCATTTACAGTATTTACCAGTTAAACATTAAATAAAATAAATAAGGCTGGATCACTGTATGAATTACAATTATTTTACAGTTAACAAGCTTCCTCATCTTTTTACCCCGTTTCAGGTCACGAGTTCAAGATGCACAAAGAAGGATCCATATTTACTTGCATAAACTCTGTTCTTCCAGCATACCTCAACCATTCACTCTGATGGTTTGCTAGAGAACTTCAGATGTCCACTAAACATGGGATGGATCCATAGTCTTCACAGTCAAAAGCCAGGAATTTCCTTGGTGCTCTTCATCAACAAACCCGCTAGTTATCTGCTAAATATTTCCCTGTGCAAAAAAAAAAAAAAAAAAAATCATGTCAGAAGAAGGAGGGCTTAATGACTTAGACGTCTAAAAGTGTTGAAAAAATCATGTATTGTTATTGACCTGCAGCAAATCTCTTCTTCACCAGAGAGAGCCGGTAGCCGGTCCCAACAAGCTGGATATCACAGCCTGACAGCGTGCTTCCCTCACTGGTGAACTGGACCGCCAGCTGGGGCTTGGAGGGTTTACAGGGACCTTCCTCCATCTGGAACCGGCCCAGTAGAGCCCCTACTCCTACACAATACACACATGTTTAGATAATAGAAGAGTGCAGGCAATGGGACACAATTAAGGACACTCATTGCTATTTGGTAGTATCCTTGGGGTCCTTCATAGCTCGGCTGTCTGTGTAATGTGGTTTGGATTTGTTGTTCTTTTAATAACTCGGGTTGGAAAAAGCTTTAGCTTTTCATGATGAACCTTTAGACTATAGCATACAGTACTGTGGTATCCTGTGAAAAATAGGCCTAAAGTACCAGCCCTCCAGTGGAAACAAGACGTTTATAACGATATGCTGAGTTTGGTCATTGTAAATTTGACATATTTCTTAGCTGGAGGCAAAAAGATTCCTCAACTTTCATGGTGTCTAACAAGATTTGTTAGGTTTTTAGCTCTGCCAAGGAGGTTATGTTTATAGGAGAGTCTGTGGTTTTGTCTCCGTTTGTAAGTGAACATGACAACTTGAAAAGTCATAAATGCATCTTAATGAAACTATCTGACATTCTGACAACTATCTGATTTTTTTAAAATATTCTGCAACATTGTGAGATAGGGATATTTGGCAGAACAAGCAGTTCCCTTCTAAACCAGAGGGTGGCAGCAGTGACTATTGACAGCCTTCAGCATCAACTCAAAAAGTCCAGAGGTATTTTACTGAAGATAAAAACTAGTGTTGGACCAATACCGATACCAGTATCGGGCAGTGCCCCGATCCAGCACTAAAGTGGCGGTATCGATATCGGCAAGTGCCAACAAATATGGCACCGATACCATTTTGAGAGCCAAAAGTTTATTCAACTATTGTCACTTATTCCAGGTAGGCTATAAAAAGTTCTGCTGGATTCACTTTGTATTAATCTTGTTCCTGCTTCTCAAAGGTAGGCGGTAGCTTGACAAGCCATGATGGCAATTATTTTACATCCAAGTAGCATGCAGTTCTTCATATATACACACACATCAATTTTAAACAGATGGTATCGGTATCGGCCCATCCTGCACAGCCAGGTATCGGGTATCGGTATCGATACCAAAAAATGGCATCGGGTGCAACAACAACAAAAAAAGAGGAGAAGAGGGAAGGTTTTTGGTTTGTTAGTGGGATCACTTGAAAACCTAAGAATGGATTTTATGGAAAAAAAATGTTTGTACCAGAGTTGCTCCTCAAGCCAAGGAACAATTTATTAAAATTTGGAAATGATCCAGATTATGTGCGAGTTTTAACCATAGATGTAAATCACAATTTGGGGGGGAAATTTGCTCCTTGGTTTAGGTCTACGCTCTCCGGGTGCTTTTCTAGTTTTTTCTTTTTTTGTTTTTTTAATTCTGTTGCAGAAAATCTGTTTCTGAATGTGAATATTTAAGATTTACTTTCTGAGGCCAGTTAACTATGAAAGGGTAGAACCAGATCGGCCGACCCAGACATACCAACTCAATACATGACCATACGAAGGGTTTACCTCTAGCAGAGTAGTGTGACATCTACACCTGGCTAACTGAAAAACAGAGGGAGATCCGCCGTTCTATCTAGAGTAGCTGAACCAAAACCACGAACATCTAGCTGGCTTGGTTCATTGTTAACAGAAGAAACAAAATCTTGACGGCAAACTGGATTTGTACAGCTGGAGGAGTAATGCTACTTAAACCATAAACCATACAAACAAAAGAATATATTTAATTCACCTTCATTTATCTTGTAAGAAGCATGGTCTGCATATAAGAGCATGTTTGATGGTTGTTTCTGTCTACTCCCCTCATTTTACCACTTTGAACCACAGCTGGTAGCTTTTTTTCTGGCAGTGACAGCAGGTGCGGGATAAAACTTCAAACTGTCTGTACTCTGTTGGTTCTGGGAACCAACAGTTATAATATTACCTCCTTGTTTAGCAAAGCCTGGTTTGGTGCTGGTTTGTTTTCACCACATCTAGTTTTTGGTTAGTTTTACCTCCAGCTAACACTCTGACCTAACTGTGACATAGATTAGAAAAAGGGTCTATTGGCAAAACATATTATGGCCAAATATCTTTAACTATCCGACCCACCCAAAGAACATTAGTCAGCAAGTCTCTCACATAGTTTACGTTGACTTTTGCAACTTATCTTCTTTTTATAGGAAAGATGAAATCCTACTCGTCAGTCTTTATCTGATGAAATCCTGAATTATTACATTTAAACTCTGAACTGTTAATTCAAAAACACTTTTGGATAATTCCAAATTCCACAGACTGACTTCAGGATAAATCTGCTCCTCTGACTTTCTCCAACTGTCTTTAAAGTTTTTTTTAAGCTGTTGATATTGGAATTAAGTCCTTTTTTGATTTTATTCTGTCTAACAAAACAACCTTATAACCTTATGGTCAGCAGTAACTGCTTCTTTAAGGCCTTCGCTGATTTATTTCCACCCTGACATTGTGTTATAAGACATTCACAACTCTGCAGAAAATTCCTTTCTTTAGGATGATTTTGAATTTTTGCGTTAAATCCTACATAATCCAGATAGTGTCCACTGGATTTTTTATTTTTATTTTTTCCCCATGTCTGATGATTTTGAAAAAAAAAACACTTGCCTCCATTTTCAGATCTTTGAGACAGGCTTTGGATTTTCCACTGAATCGCTTGCTGCTCTGGATTCCTGAATGATGGATAAATAAAAATTATATCTTTAAAAAAAGAATATTTTCCTCTTCATGCACTGAAAATAAAGTCACTACCTCGACTGACCAAATGGGAAAAAATGGTAATAGGCCCAATAATAATAATAGGTTCAGTAAATTGTTTGGGCATCTTATCAGACATCAGAACCCCTAGTGAGGCTGTCCCTGAGTAGGTGTGAGGGATCTTTACCACGTGGCGGGGGGGATCATGGTCTGCAGCCTGGATATGCCCCCATCCACAGGAACCACAAAGTGGATGTTGTGTAACGGCACCGGAGAAGCCATGGCCTCAGCATTGTATTTGTAATCTATTCGCAGGTCGGTGTTGGTGGAATCACCTCGCCAACTCACAGCCAGGTTCAGAGGAGTGGACTGAATCCCCTCTGCAGACACCTAACAGGAAAAAAAAAATATACAAACAAAAAACAGCAGAATAAAGCAGCCGATATGTTTCATGGAAGGAAAAACGTTAGGCAACTAAAAGGCAATCTGTACTTGATATTTGATCATGTCCACGTTGTAGTATGTTGCCTGAGGCTTCTGTTCGGCCACTTTCTTGAGATGGTTCATCAGGTTTGGCATGTTTACCCAGAATTCCTTGGTATCCACACCATCCGTTGCAGAATCACTACAAGACGACAAGAAGAGGTCCCATTTAGATGCTGATTATAAAACGATAGTATCTGTGGATAATCGGTTCCCATCCAATGCTCTGCACAAGTATTCACAGCTGTCATGTTGCAACTACAGACTTTACTATAATTCAGTGGGATTCTCTGTGATTGACCACAACGCCACAACGTATGTAATTAGGAAGTAGAAGGAAAATACATTAAAAAAATTCTGTGTATTTTAGTTCAGAGTGTCTACTTTGTTTTATGGATCTAATGACACAAACATGCTTTGATCTTGACCCAAGTTGTCCATCTTTAGCACAAACTCACCAATATCATGCAGAATTAAAATCTATGCTGAACAACACCTGTTTCAAATGGCTCATTTATATCCGCAATAGGTCAGTCTGCTTTGAAGAGACCTGCTATCTAACATCTCATTGAATGTGGTTGTTGAATCAGGGAAACCTCAAGACTCAACATTTTTTTAGAGCAAATTATGGTAGTATGCCGTGACAATTTTCTTTTTTTAGAAAATAGTTTGCAAAAAAAAAAAAGGCTTTGTTTCAACAATGAGGTTCTCTCAGCACTTTTTGACACTGATTAGGTTTGATTAGTGGGTGGCTATTATGTCCCATGATTAAATCCTCCCTCTGCAGCTCCTCCGTAGCTCCTCATCTGATTTATTCTCTGGTTAGTGCCCTTACTGCCCGACCTTTTAGTTTAAGTTGAGAGTTTTGGTAGATTAGTATATTTGCCATATTCTTTTCATTTTCAGATGGTCATATTTTATTCTTAATATTTAATGAAGCATCCCTTTGAGACCAAGTGCATTATGTTTTCATACATGGGTTATTGAGACCTCTGCATCATTGGTTTGATATTTCTACCGGAAATCTATAGAAGATTATACAGATAATTTATCATAGAGGATGTGAATACATCTTATTTATTTTTTTCATTTGTCAGAAAGTTCAATGACAATTCTAATTTGAAGAAATTAGAATTTTCTTTAAATTATTTCATGGTCCAGGCTTTAGAGAGGTAGGAATGATGTACATGTATGGATTGAATTATGGTGTAAATTTAAAACAAAAATGCAACTGGAAATGCAACCCAAAATTAAAACCTTGTTTTTTCAGATGTTTTTTTGTTGTTGTTGTTGTTGTTGTTGTTCATTATAATTCTAATTATTGTTTTGAATAATTACATTTTCAAAATCATTTTACATACACTATATTGCCAAAAGTATTTGCTCACCTGCCTTGACTCACATATGAGCTTAAGTGACATCCCGTTCCTAATCCAT